TTTTTCTTTTTTTTTGGCGGGGTTTTCTGTAACCTCTGTTACCAACGCGCGCAAAGTTGCACCATTGTGCTGGGTTCTGGCACGATTCTGATCTTCAGGCGATTAGCGAGCCGCATACTTTCGGCCGCCCGAGGCTTGTCTTTTGCACATCGTGCCACCGCGCCTCTCGGGACGTTCGTTAAGCTTTGTGGATCTGCGGATTGACATGGGCAGGCACCATGAGTCGTCGCCGCGACAGGGAGCCGCAGCAAGGGACGGGCTTTGTTGCAGCCCCTGAAAAAGGTGTGGCACATCCGACAGGAATCGGACCAAGGCCGCGAGAAGAAAAAAAGAAAAAAAGAAGAAGCATCAGGGGCTGGGCATGGATGATGACAGGTGCCGGGGGTGGGTATCACATCACACATGGTGCACGAAATGATGAAGGTCAAGGGATGAACAAAAGTTATCGAAACCACCATGCCTCTTTTATTGCATTTCTCTCACCAGGCTTACACTAATGGCATCGTAAAAACAAAATCGTACATAAAAAAAAAGCCTCGTCCTAAACACCCAAGCTACCCAGAGATGGACCCCTCCCAAGAAGTGAAAAGAAAATGTGCTGCTAAACAAAGCCGATAACGCCCTCATTTGTGCTTTTTGAACACCCCTTACTGGACCAGGCTGTTGAACAGAGTGGCGGTGGTGGCGTCCTTGGTGCCGGCGGCCTCGACCTGCTTCTTGGCGGCGAGGCACTTGTCGATGGCGGCCTTGTTAGCGTTGCAGGTGCGCGAGTTGAGCTGGTCGCAGACGCGGTTCATGATGATGCTGGGGTTCAGGGCGTCGGACTGGCCCTTGAGGATGGCGGGGTCGACAGGGAGAAAGGTGCCCTGGTCAGCCTTGCGGCCGGGACGGCCCAGAGAGAACTCGATGGTGGGCACGCAGGTACCGAAGTCGAGGGCACCCGCGTTGCCGGCGCCAGCGTTGCCGTTACCGGCGTTGTCGTTGTTGCCGGCGCCAGCGTTGCCGTTACCAGCGTTGTCGTTGTTGCCAGCGTTGTTGTTGTTGCCAGCGTTGTTCTGGTTTCCACCGTTGCAGCCCTTCTTGCCGCCGTTGTTGTTCTGGTTGCCGCCGTTGTTGTTCTGGTTGCCGCCGTTGTTGCCAGCCGCACCACCAGCGGCGCCGCCGGCAGCAGCAGTGCCAGTGTCACCAAGAGTGAAGTTGCTGAAGCCCTGGGCAATGCTCAGGGCAGCAACGCTGATGCCGGTGGCGTCAAACGGGTTGGTGAGCGACTGCTTGGAGTTGGCGTTCTGCACGTCGGCGCCGACGACGGCCGGGTCGACCAGGGGCAGGACGCCGCGAAGGGCCTCCGTCTTAGGCAGGGACGCGTCATCGCAGATCTTGTTGACCTTGACGGCGAAGGGGTTGAAGTTCATCTCGGCGGCGACGAGGCCGCGGGCGGCCGCGATGACGTCGTCGGTGTTGCCGAGCTGGGCGACGATGGTGTCGGCCAGCTCCAGCTTCTTGCAGGCGCTGGCGGCCGCCAGGAGCACGCTAGGGACCTGGCCGCCGAGGGTGGCGGCCTGGCCGGGCTGGCCGCGGCTACCGAGGGCGCCGATGGCGGCGGAGGGGACGTTCTCCTGGCCGAACCGAGCCTCGACCGAAGCCAGGACGGCGGCGAAGAAGAGAGCCTTGGCAGACATGGTTGCTTTGGGTTGGGTTGGTTGTTTAGTCGGGAAGACGAGGCAAGAAGGTTTCGGCTAGCGACTTGGAAGTGAAACGGTTGAAAAGTGTAGAAAGAAGGTGGGTGGAACGTCAAAAGGGTAGTTCACAGAACTGTAAAGAATGGAAGATGCCGAGAAGTGCAAAAAAAGAAAGAAAGACTGGTTTGATCAAGAGAAGGCTTGGTTGAGTGAGGAAGGAAGGGGGGAAACGAAAGAGACTGGAGGTTTGACGGGATATATATATATATATATCAGACCGTCCAGATAACGAGAAGCGAGGGTCTCGCGTGAACCAAAGACTAGACCCAGACGGTGCCTGCCTCTCTCCGCCGGCCCAGCAGCTCCCTGGCGAGCAGACACCATCATTACCGATCCTTGCCGGCGATCACACAGGCGCACACGAGATGGGACGGGATGGGCATGACGTCTCAAGGGGGCAACAACGGCGCCTAGACCGCATCCTGTTGGGCCCCGTCGGCGGGTGGCTGCGCTGCGTGACCGAGCAGGTTGGCAGCCGAATGCTTGTGTGTGTTGTTTGTCTGGGTCAGGGGTTCTAGACCCCGGAGACGAGGCTTGACTGCTGGGGGACCGGCTAGCGCTCCCACTCCCCCTGCCGGCCCCACCCAGCTTGGCCAGAAGCCCGGAGGCCAAGGGGCAAGCTGAGGCCGCGGCCAGCCGCAATCAAGCGGCAGCCGATTCGCCCAGGCACAAATGTTTAGCCCTCGTTTAGAGATGCATGTCATTGGCTTGCTCCACTTACACACGCACATGGCAACCGTCAGACACTGAC